TTTCTAGCCACTTTTTTTGATATACATAAATAAATTTTGTGACGATATATTGTCAAATAAAAAGTTTTCCCTACAAAAGCTTGATTTCGATCGCTCAGTTTCGAAGATTGTAGCGTTGCCACAGACAATGATCCATGCCGAATTTTGTAAAGATATCTTGTCAACCAAAAGAGTTCTTCATACAAGAACTTAATTTTTGATTTGTATGGATTGATCTGCAAAATTTCTTCTTCGGATATTATAACGCTTATTTGCGCAATAGTCGGAAATATATAATAATAATACATACCAAATTTCGTCAAAATATCTTGTCAAATGAAAATGTTTTTCTTACAAGCAATTCATTCAGATCGTTCAGTTTCTATGGCAGCTATATGCTATAGAGGGATTAGTTCGCTTATGTACAGACTAGCAAAAGGACAAAATCGACTATACTATATCCTATAATACAAACTGATCGACCAAAATCAAGTTGAGAAATGGGTGGGAAATTGTGAAGGATGTCATAGTTTCGCTATAACCGAAGTTAATGATTTTTTTTTTTTTGATATTGAAATAAAATGACTTTGGAAAAAATATTTTAATTGAATTAAATATAAAGAGAGTTAAGTGCATTTAATACAATTAATTAAAAAAATTTTATTTATTAAAAATAAACTTTAAATTACACAAAAAATATATAGAAGAAGTTATAAATATATTTAAATATTATGAAAATTAAGACATTAGAAAATTGTGTGAGATTAAAAAGAATAGATGCAGAAATAAACTGAAGGCATAAAGAAGAAAAAATAATGAAATAAAATAATACTAAACACGAAAGTGAATGATTTAACAAAAAAACAAACTAAATAAACTTCCTTAAAATACTATAACAACACATAAACGTTAATAGCAGCTAATTCTATACAAAACATACCTAACAACTGCACATTCATGCCACCATTGAGGGCTATGTAACACATGCAAAATGGATTTAATTACCCATAAAGGATTACGTTAACATTAAAAAGGATAATTTAGCAGCACATCAGCGGCCAACAGACTCTGTGACAACAGCAGACGCCTAAATACAGTTACGCATGATTTTAGTGGATTACGAGCAGTATATTCAATGTGACAGCAACAACCATCAGCTAACAACGCACATAAAATAAGTGGCTTAAATAACATTATAAAGGGCTATCGTGCATGCGGGCGAGCGTGTGTATGTGTGTGACGTGGTAACAAAACAGCAACCACAACAACACGAATTCGCAATGGATTTATTATTTCTATTACATTTACTCATTCTACTCGTCAGTCAAAATGGTAATATACTTACTACTATATACCATATACAATTTCGCTTATACACTAATACACACACACACACATACAGCGACACATTTGCACACATACTAATCCAACTCGGACATTCATGCTAATTATATAATATATTTCCTGGCATTTAGCGTTTTATCTTAATTTGTATATTTTATTTCTAGTCCACTTCCATTTATTTGCAATGCAAGCATTTGTTTTTGGTTTTTACTTTTTCCCCATCTATCCTTTACCCTTCCAGCCTCGCCGCTGTCAAGGCTTAACGTTTGCATAATGGGGAAATGTCAAGAGTTGTCATGTGATGAAATTGTTTCAAGCTCTTCAAATGGTTGGACTTGTGAATCATGCCAGCGTATAATGGTAGTTAGTGTGGTGGAAAATGAAAGATGTACATGTGTATAAAGTGAAGTGTCACTACCCATTTGTGGTTTAACTGGCCGTAGAAAGAAAGAAAGGAGTTCAAAATCTGAATGATGTTTCTAAGTGAGCTTATGGCGAATTAACCTTGAATTTTTTACCTGGGCGTATTGACTTCGGCGAAGTCGAGGAAGAGTAACTAAGTACAAAAGTAGAATTCGTCTAGAAATCTAGATATTTATCTCTAGCGTAGAGCTATTTTATGAGTAGACTGGTTTTGAGAACCCAGCTTTAGCGGTATTGCAGGAAACTGCAAGGTTAATGAGCACGCTAGGGCAGAACTTCAGCCACGATAACTGCGGAATGGGAACGAGTAGAAGCTTCGTTGGCATCTTCTGGTGGCATCAGAGTAAAACGTTAGAGGTTTAGGGATTGTGGACTCATGCAGTCAGTGTTAAAATGTGACCGGTTGCCAGCTGCTTCAACTGTTTGATCAAGAGAAAACATTTCGGATTTCACTTTTTTAAACATCCGACTGAAATAGCGGAAGCATAAATAAAACACCTAAAACACCAGATTTGTGATGGGTTCTGGGCAGTTTTACCAACAACTGATTTTCAATATGAGGAGGTTTTACTATAATGACCGCACGCCTCAAAACATATTGTTCATCGAATATTATTATTATATTTGATGATGAACATCATCATACTTGGTATCATCTTTATTCTCATATCTGATATACAGTATATTTATTGACTATGGGAGGTCATGAATATAAGGGGTTGGATTAGATTTCAATTGCAACTGGAATGGACATGGAATTAATTATGAACGAGTTCCGATAAAATTTTTGAGAAAATACTTTTAGGTTTACCTCATATTAGATATCGAGGAAATCGAATTTCGGTTTGACGAGTAACATTTGGTTAACCTTTACTTGGGATTAGATATATTACAGTTAAATTAATAGGTACAGTTAAATAATATGTCTCATTTAAAGATATTTATTATATTCGGGATAGCGTATAACAAGTTTGTCACGAAGGAAACGTCGGATACCAGTTGATTCAGCCATGTACGTCTGTCTCTCAACCCGTCAGTCCGTCTGTCGGTATATGCGTTAACTTGTAGCTTTCCTCCCCAAGAAGCTGCTAATTTGTCGGAATCGCCGATATCAAACCACTATAATCTGAATGGTCAGACTAAAGTCCCAGGATTAAAAACGTTTTTATTCGACAAGGTGTTTTCTTTGGCATAGATTGTTGTAAAAGTCAGCAGTACAATATCCGAAAAGGTAGTTCGGATTGGAACAACATAGCCTATAGCTATCATACAAACCGACTGATCAGAATCAAGTTGTTGTTAGGAAAACTTAAACCTGTGAAGGGTATTATAGCTAAGTATAGTAGTACAAACCCAAAGAGGATAGCAACTGATGTTTAAATGAATTTAGGAGGACAGAAAGCTCAACAAATATAGTTGTGCGATAGAATGCTCTCCTTTTAAATCAACTGAGATCACAACCAAATTTAAGTTGACACTGTAAAAAAACGTTTACAATGTTTAGCTATAGGTTATAGGCAAATAGCTTGGTTTGAACGTAGTCAATAGAGCTGCTAAGACCAAAGGGAAGGAAAATTCGTGGAATTGCCTAAATCATATTATGTTTTCAATCTTATATAATTTTGTACAAAAATAGTGATATATTAGCCTATTTGAAGTTCTGCTATTGATATCGTATTCTCTGAAACATAGTATATCATAAACAACATATAGAATTATTGAATGTAAGTTCAAAGAGTATATTCAACAGAAATGAAGCCTTGTTGAAAAGGAAATTTGATTTGATATTTCTTTATAGCCAAAAAAGCTAATTTCTAAAGCTCGATTATGCCAGAAGCAAATCCACCCACATATATTAATTCGTAGTTCTGGTCTAGTAATTAAAAGATTGTATTATTGTCCACAACATTTGTTGAATGAACAATACTGTTTACGAGGCTATAAATAACACATTAGTTAATTGATCTGTTCAATAAGCAACTAAGTATACCTTGAACATTACGAAAACTTTGAACAAATCCAAAAGATTCTGTTTTTAATGCATACAAATTTACGCCATCAATATTGCACAACACCAGTTATACATTCAGAGTAAATTTGTTTTCAATACTCGTAAATGACGCAATGCGCTAAAATGTTGCACTTCTTCGAGCACTAACTGCTGCGGAAACAGACGCCAAATTGCTGCAACCAACTGCAGCCAGCAACCTGCAGAAGTACGCGCAAACTTACAAACAGACATGTTTGAAATTGATGTGCCATAAATGCAAGTGAAAAGAAATCGTAAAACAATATTATGCCCAAGCGTATTGAGCATTCGTTATTAAAAAAGTGGAGTAAAAACAATTTTCGGCATAAAAAGTTGCTAATACAAGAGATGAAAATCGAAGGTAGTAAATTTACAATGTCTATTATGACATGCATATTAAACTAAAAAGAAAGAACAACTTGCAGAGAGGAGTATTTTTGTGGGTACTATTATGCGAGGGTTGCCTTTGATATTTCGGGATTCGAGAACACTAATAAATATTACTAATCGAAAATCGTTTTACTGTTTTTCAAAATATTCTCCATTAAGATCTATACACCTTTGCATCAATATCTCCAAAACATGAATTCTGAGCACGTCAACCGCCTCTTTAGATGTCGAAAAACTTTTAGCTCTCAGTTTATTTTTATGTACGGAAATAGAAAGCAGTCACTCGGTGCCAACTCGGGACTATATGGTGGATGATTCATCAAATCGATGTTTTGAGTGCTGAAAAAAACCATTGTTTCAGCCGATGTGTCAGAGCTAGCATTGTGGTACAAGCGCTTCGTGCTCGAACAACCTTTCTTGGATTCGACTCATCAGGAAACACCCATACAGTCGACTACTGTTTACTTTCACGTCATATTTCACGATGTTCTAAAAAGTTTGGCAGCACTGCTATCGATTTTTTTGATACTATTAATAGCTATACAAGTTATCTCAATCTTACAATAATTCCCATCAGCTTACACATAGTATCAGTAGTTTCCAGAACCAAAAATTTGAATCCACAGGCACAGTACAAAATGTTCCCGTGCCAGTTTCGATAATATTGCGGCGGCTAGCACATTAATTGAGGAAAGCCCAAATCAGTCTCTCACATGTTCTTCTCAAGCGTTGGACATCTCTGTGACGTCGTAGTGGTGAATTTTGCGAAAAGATCTTGACCTACATCCTTAAAAAATCCAATTGACGCAAGAACTGAAGCCGCTTGACCACCAGAATCGTCGTATGTCTGGAAATTGAGTTACAACTTGAAAATGATACGGGTTTTCATTGAAAAATCATCTTCAGCGGTGAGGCTCATTTCTGGCTGAATGGCTTCGTTAATAAGCAAAATATGCATTATTGGACAGGTAGCAATCCACACGTACTCTATGATTTACCATTTTCTCTCTAAACATTTGCGGTTTGGTGCGTTTAATGGGCCGTACTTTTTCCGTGATGATCAAGACCAGCACTTTAATGTTAATACCTCTCAATGAAAACCGAATATTTTTGACCCGAATTGGATGATATGGGCTTGGACACCAAGTGGTTCCAAACGATTTATTGAAAACCATGTTTGATGAACGTGTTATCTCACGAAATAGCCCAGTCAATTGGTCGCCTTGGTCGTACGTTTTGACGCCATTAGAATATTTACAGTGAGCGACGGTTGGTGAGCTTCCTACGAATGTCGAACGTGGGATTATAGCAGTAATCGGCCGATTTATGGTCGAAAACCGTGGAAAATTGGGTTCAGAATCTGGACTTCTGCAAGCGTGCCCGTGGTGATTTTGCAAAATAAATCGAGTTCCATACATAATGGAATGTATTTTCACAGAAATAAAGAATTTCATTGATACCCCGAACCGCTTTTGTTTTATTAAAAAACAAAAAAATATGTGTATTGCCCGTTAATTGTTATTGTACTTTCAGTGTCACATAATGGTTTGTTTTCTGAAAGCACTTAAGAGAAAAATTTTTAGACTCGGGCTTGATAAAAAGCAGTGTGTGTTCGATTAGGCAAACCCAACTTTAGTGGGGATCATTTGCTGCGATTGTCAGACAATGTTTCCTGTCATGATTGTGTATTCTGATTCTCAAAACAGTATTATGTTAAGATGAGGACTGAAACCCTGCGTAACATTGCTGAAACTAGGATACAGAATAGTGTTTATTGTTATCATAAAATATAGAAGAAAGACCAGAAACCACTAACAGGAAATAGTCATTACAAAAAAAAAGTTTACTGGTAGACCGAATCTAATCATTATTTTAAATTTTCTATTAAAAAGCTTCTTATAAAAATTCGTAGAATATCTTTTGTAGGCTTCCATAGTACTTAGTTTTAAAATTTTAGTTTTATGACTCAGTTATCTTATGTTTTTTATTTTAAAGTATATAATATATATCAATCAATATTTAATTATATATGTATATGGTATTCTAATATTTTTATGGAAAGTTTTCAAAGGCCTTTCTTTTTATTCTCTTTGCAGTTGCTGTTCTCGGCCAATTCGAGGGCAGTTGGCTAACCCTGGCACCCTCGACACCATCTATCACACATTTTGTAAATGATTCCTTCATTATATTCTGTAAAACAGTACAAAAGGATGCGAATGCTAAATGGAAAGACCCTAAAGGGGTGCCCAAGGAAAATACAAAAGGGCGTGTGCATATCGAAAAGAAAACTGGTTGGTGCCATTGCGAATTTATTTTCAATTTGACCACCATTTACTTACCGCAAACAAAATTTTTTTAAAAGAAACAATCATAATTACTCCTAAAAATTTTTCTTTACCATATATATTTTTTACCACAACAATGCAACTCTGCACTCACTTCAAACCGTGGAATTAAATAAGTACGTACAACTGACCAACAAATTATGTGTCATGTTAACCATAGAAATATACGAGTTTACGCTAATGCGGTGTCCTCCCATCGTTAGCGGTACTTTTTGCTTCTGTCATTTCCCCGCACAACTTTGGCGTATGGGTTGATGCTCACTCAGCCTTGTCACTTTCTGTTCTTTGCCACTGACATTTGCGGCATTATGCAAAAGCATCAACGCCTCTTTCACTACAACAAAGTCACACCGCTCCTATGCCAATTACTGTTGCGCAGCGATGCTTCCGTATGTCCTATATTCGACAGTGGTGTAGTAGACATTTCTGGAGGGTTTCTGATGGGATCTTTTGATAAATATCCTTTCTATGCACAAAATGGAATCGTATCTGACTGTATTCGACGCATGTAAGAAAAATCCATAAAGTCTTAACAATATCACAGAATCTGTAATTTGTGAATATTTTATCAAAAATATCAGTATTTTATTAGCTTTGTATATTTTAGTTCAAAAGTAAGTATAGTGTAATAATATTTAGGTTTATTTTTTTAATATCTTAGATTCTCATTAGCTTTTTCCTTTTGATCCTAAATTGGATCTGTTCTCCAATATCATAATAAAATTCCAAGTATAACTTATTGCTTTAGTTACTGCGAAAATTCCATCTTGTTCACAAAGTTGGATATTCTCAACAACTAGAGATTTACGAAATTACGCAAGTATCTATAATATGCGATTTAAAACTGATCGCTTCAGTGCTTAAAACTGACCATATGTGCGATCGACCGGTCTATATACCGACAATTTTGGTTGGTTGGTTGAAAAGGGGGAGGCGTTAGTACCAGACCGCAAGCGGCTGCACTTAGGCCATCATTAGGCCCGTTTTGCTCCTGGGTAGTAACCAAATTAAGCCTTACCCAGCCATTCTGTGGATTTAGTAAATAAACCTCATTCCTTTCCATCCTATTCTCTTAAGTTGGAGCATTGGGCGTTGTGGAATAGGTCTCATACGGCTGAAAACTGGACGTCTCATCGTCCTCCGCGCATGCTCTGCATCCGCCTTTTTTTCCATTTTCTGAAGTTGGGATCTTAAAGGCCTTTTACTAAGCTATAATTTTTCTAGAAATAGAAGCTGTTTGGTTATGATATGGTGGTTGTGATATGGTGTTGCTCGTGTTGCAAGACCTGAAGTGTTCCTCTGGGGCCCAAAAAGTCCTTGAAGAAGTTGAGTGACCTAGGCCAGTTTTGAGGAATTGCGATACCGCCAAGCAGATCAGCTCGTCTGCCTTATCATTTCCTTATATTCCTATAGAACCGGGTACCCAGATCGAGTTACCTAGTAATGGTCCTTCTTATATAACCTAATTTATTGAAACTTTGGCTTTACGTATAGAATGACGCTTTGCTAGCCACTAAAATATTTATAGATTTACTGGTTAGAGCCCACGTGGTATCTCTTGTTATGACCACAATTTCGGCCTGAAAGACTGAATTGTAGTCATTTATTTTGAAGATACATTCTGTGTATGAATTACTACAGAAGAAAACCGTTGTATTTACTTCCTCTTGACTCTCCCTTTCTCGGTCACACTACTTAATTAGTCCGAGATAATCTACAAATTCGAGTATGATACCATCCCGTGATAATGCCAAATTTGACTCCAACTAGACATAAGCATTATTCATTCTTCACTTGTATATATTATGATTGTCAAAAATACCCACCACAGCTTTAATTGGCATAGTTTTTACTGCGCCGTTGCACCTATTCCAGGGGTTTAATGCATCACTTGTTTGGTAATTTTACCATCATACCAATGCACATTATGTGGTCGTAAACCCCACTTTAGGACAATGGCTCCTGCAATCCTGCAGGAATTATAGTTTCTCAATATGCTCTCTCCAGCTTATTTTTTTATCCCGAATTACTTCGAGATATTTGACAAAGATCGAGAGTACATACAATTGTTCTATATCCTGAAGAGAGGAGGTTGATTTTGGAATTACCTAGGATATTTCTTTTCCGATTTCCTGGACTCAATTTGTCTTGAACTATGCCAACCAAATGACCATAAGGAAAAGATCTACCGGAGTCACATAATATTTAAAGACTAGTCTTATAGAATATGGTGTCATTAGTTAGTTAGTAAAGATAATTGCCACCTGCCGAACAATTTGCGAAACAAAACAACTTGGTTTCGAGAAATACCAATAGCTGTAAAATTTGTGTATATTTCCATATAGGCACAGGTTGACCGGCTACCTTGGTATGTTCTTCTTAATAGCTACGCCACTGCCTGGTGCCACTGACGTTCTGACATTACGAGTGAAGAGCAGAACAGTGAGATCGCACGTCCAACCATGCGAAAGACGACCAACGAACCACATCACAGATGTAATACAAAAATGCAAATTCTTCAAGAGAAAATAAACCAAAAAGACTTATCCTTTCATAAATCCCGCTTACATGTGTCCATAGGCACAGAGCATTTATGCACATGTATAGTATACATATACCTACATATATACCGTTGCATGTGTTTATGTAATTAACTTTTGTGTGCGCGCTTGTCCGTGCGTCTTCATGCTTAATGCTTGTTGCTGTTGGCAACTTTTCGGCTTACAGGAATATAAAGTAAAAATTTTCGCTTTCAATTCATTTATTCATACATTACATATATCCCTTCCACCACCACCACCACCACATGCCGGGTAGTTTATGCGACACTACTGATTTGTATGTAATATTTCTTATTCTACATCTTCATCTCGTCTTCTTCTTCTTCTACCGTTTTTCTTCTTCTCGTCATCTTTGTTTCGTTTTTTGTTTAATGGCATGCATGCAGGATTTTTGGCGTTGGTCTTCGAACACATTGCGCTGACGGACAAGGGCAACTGGACGTGTGAGGCAACGCTGACTAACAACAACAATAACAACGAAGCCACATCAGCAGTATCAACGCCGGAAGCTGGCAGCACCGCAACACTGGCCAGCGGTGAGGCGAGGAAGTCCTTTGAGCTGCTCGTAAATCGTACGTTCACTTCCGTGCAGGTTTATCTTGTGTAATTTATACAAGCTCACACATATTTACATACATACACATAAATATATTTTGTTTCTAAATATATTTACATGTTTATATGTTTGTTTTGTTACGTCCCTAAAATGCTCACACTTATTCTTACCGAATTCCAAGTGTCACAAACGCCTGCTTTACTTTGTTTATCATTAGGCAATAATCTGTTTAACAATTTTGCTATCAGCACTACACAGTCACACATATATTTATATACAGATACACATATACTTGCATGCCTGTATTGTATACTTAACAATCATTTAAGGCATACAAACGCTTAGTGGGTGTATATACATACATATATATAAAAGTATCTGCGCCCTATAAATTGCCTCTTTTTACCGTCCTTTTGTTTGATTTTCTATTTTTCTAAACATTTGCTTACACATCGTTTCGTAATTCCTTCGCTCGGTCGACTAACTTCGTTACCATTTCGTATATCCTTAATGTTGGTTACTCATACGCCCCCACTTACCGGCTCGTAAACGCTTTGTTGTGGTATTGTGGATATCCGCCTGACTCATTGTGGCTAATGTGAATGGATTCCAACAACAAACACGACAACAACAAATAAATAAAAAATACCAAAAACAAAATAAAATTATATAAAATTCGTCTACTCATCTGCGTGCCACCTCATCATATCCTCACCAACAACAACAATAATAACACCCCACAAACAACAATAAACGGCGTCCAACAATGCAACCGAAAAACCAGAGAAAATCTCCTTTGACAAAACGGAGCTGGTGCAGTCGGCGGGTGAGGGTCGTGACGCCACGGTCAAGTGTTTTGTTAAAGGTGATCCCCGTCCGGACGTGTCCTGGCTATACAATGGCGAATATATAAACAGTAAGTAGGCATGCAATGACACGTGTTGCAATAAAATTAAATTAGCTATTGCCATTGAAAGCAAATGGTGAATAAAATGCTCTAACAATCCAATATAGTATGTGTATGTAGATGTCACGTGTTATTAAGTATATGTTTAAAGCAAGTTAACATTGTAATAAAATTAGTACGGAAAAACTTTTATGATTACTTTAGAATAGCTGCAGCCTGATGTGAATAATTATTTAAAAATAATTTTAGTAATATTTTTTGGGTGAAGTAGGGTCGGATTGTGCAGATCTTGATCTGGAAGTAAGGTGATAACAGTTTGTATACTGCAGTTTAGTTGCTGCATAGCTGTAGAATGAATTTTGTCGAAACATTAGGACATATATCCACAAATAAATTTTTTATTACCTGCTATGTATCTTTTTTCACTGGAATTTTCGTTATAATTGGTCGTCCACTAAGTAATAATAGCTTTGAAATAATTCATGTTGCCCTATAGAAAATGGAAGATCGAAAACTGCACTTTTGGCATATTTTACAGTTTTACTATCAAAAATGAGGTTCAAAACGAAAATTGTGTGATGTAAACGGAGCAAACGGGGTGAAGTATATTGTGACCAGCTAAATAAATTGAGTAAAGCACTCAAACAAAAGAGGCCCGATTTGATCATTAGACAAGGTGTAATGTTCCACCAGGATAATGGGAGACCTCAAAAAAGTTTGATGACACGCCAAAAGCTTTTTAAGCTTGAATGTGATGTGCTATCACGCCTACCACATTATTCAGACCTGGCACTTTCGGACTGTTACTTCATCCTGTTGCAGCAAATTTTCCTTGGTTCACTTAGAGTATAGTTGTTATATACATATATTTTCTAAAATTTTAAAATTTCACAATTTGGAAATATTACTATGTAAGATTGAAAAATTTGGTCGGACCTAAGATCTTCTGCCCTTTCATGTATAGAAAGAATATGCATTTCTTAAAAAAATCTGAGTAAGCGCACAGAATTTATACTTACCAGGTTTTTGATGTTTTAATTATCCGAAAACTGTTATAAAGTTCAAAACTCTAAGTTTTCTTAAATTTTAGTACATTTAAACGATGTCTCCTTCAATGATCCTGAGGTCGTAGAAGTCCTTACAATATATTTTTCTTTAAGCAAAACCGGTCCCAAACTAAAAATTTTTTCGAGATCCAATATTATTAAAAATAAATTATAAAACGGAGGACCCTCCTGTTAAAACTAAAAGCACATACTTGGAAAGATTTTCGTAGAGGTGCCTAAGAATCTATTTTTCAAAGTACCTAGCTAGAAAAATTATTTTAATTTTTCTTTGAACTACCCTAATGTATACATAAGTTTCGAAAGTCGAAACTTTATTTTATAAATTTGAAATATTAAAATATTTTTTAAATAATAATTTTATTTTTAAGCACCCTAATATACATATACTTTTCGAAAATCGAAACTTTATATTATAAATTTGAAATATTAAAATATTTTTTGGATAATTATTTTATTTTTAACCACCTTAATAATCAAAACTTTATATTGTAAATTTGGTTTTTAAAATATTTTTTAAATAATAATTTTATTTTTATTTTGAACTACCTTAATATACAAATATGTACTATGTAGTATGTACATACATAATATTGTAAACTTGATTTTTTTTTAACCACCCTAATATATGTATGTACATACATCTGTCTCTTATACACATCTAGATGTGTATAAGAGACAGCCCTAATATAAACAAATTTTTTTAAAATTATAACTTAATATTGCAGACTTGATTTTTTAAATATTTTTTAAAAATTAAAAATAAAACTTTAAATATAATATATATTTTGCCACAAATATTTTCAACGTTTATAAACTAGATATTTGTACTTGTATATAGACTTTAATTATGCTTTTATGTTTAATCATCTCTACTTCAAATATTTGCATTTCTTACATTTAAAAAAAGTTATTTTGAAAATTTCCATGTCATTTTGTTGCTATGTCTGCAACACACAGCCGTCAACTCAACCAAATACAAAAAACTCTCCGATGGACTCTTCATCAAGAATGTACAGCAATCGGATGCTGGTGAATACACGTGTCGTGCGATGCGAATCACACCAACTTTTGCGGATTCCGAACAAATTACGATTCTACTGAGGATACAGCGTAAGTGTATTCAATGGACTCCCAAAGCAAAACATGCACACAACCGTACATGCATACATATATGCAATTGGATTTTTAAAGTTGCTGTCATGCATTGCGATCACGTACACATACAATTTAATATAGATTCACACACATTTACACGCACCACTATCAATACATACATTTTTACATATACGTAGATATATAAGTGTCAAATCCGTGCGGTAAGCGGTTCTTAACCGAATGGTGCTGCATGCAACACTGTGCGAGCGCTATACTGTTTGTGGGGGGTTAGTAGAGAAGTGGGGTTGTATAATAGCGGCTTTAGCCGAGTTAGCAGCGCATGCATTTAATTTACAGTTATTCGGTGAACTCACTCCAAAGTATTGTTGCAGTGTCGACGGTGTTTGAGCTCCCAGTACCCATATGGGAGCGCAAACTTGCATTTAACTACGCACACATACGCAAAATGAATGCATAAGTGTGCATACATATACACATGCATATATATATGTATGTACATATGTAGTTATATATGGTATTGCAGGTACGAGCACCAGTTGGGTTCACGCGAAAGTGTTGTCTCCATTCGAAAGTATTTCAGCAGCGTAAATTTCCTTTCGCACATGCACACATGCATACACATATTTAACTGCTTGCATAAGTGCTTGCATATGTATGTACGTTTGCGTATGTTCGAATATTGACGCTCAGGCGGCACTAAAGTGCACTTCATTACGAAAACCGAAAGCGATGAATTCACGCACACCGCTATACATACGCCCATAACAGCACAATGTATACGTATACATATACATATGTAGATATTGCAATTCCTTGTGCCTTTACACATACGTACATATATTTATGTATGAGTATGTATGTATACAGTATATATTAATGCTTATTTCGTTAGTTTGTCTGCTTGCACGTCCTTTCACCAATTTGTCTGCTCTAAACATTTCTATAAAGATATATATGCATTCCAATTTATATGCGCTTAAAACTATCACACAGGGTGATTTGAAAGCATTTTTTTATAGCCTGAATAGGGTATTCTTGTTTGCTAGGAAGTTTATAATGTTCAGAAGACACCCTAGAGAACGTGTCGATTTGTCGTCATTTTCTGCTCATCGGTCGAAATCGTCTTTATAGTAGAAAGACTATGGAATATAGGTGTTATAAAAAAGAATAGTCTAAAATAAGTCCTTGTATGGAAACTTTGTGAAGATTTCTTTATTAAAGGAGCAAGCTTCGAAAGCCGGAGTGTAAATACTAAATCCGCTAACCTAACCTACTCCCAACTCATATCTCTTCCACGGAACCACCGGATTAATTATTACTTCACGGGAGAGAGAAAGACTTAAACTCTCATAAACTCTCTTAAACTATCATATTTTAATAATAAAAAAATACATGCTCAGAGTCTTCTATGAGGATATTGGATTAAGGTCGTGATGAAATCAGAACATATAGTTTCTAATTTATCTATGTCTCTGGATCCGGGATTAGTCTTAGGATCTACTGTCCTTTGGTTGAGGCTTGCCACCGTTCTTGCCACATTGTGATGCTTGTGGTTCTCTCCTCTTTTTTTCGTTAGTATTTGGGTTCGTCTCCTTGACATCCAGGACCACCAAGGGGGGCATACTAACTAGAACTTCAGCAGCGACGCTTGATATCGTTCGAAAAGATCTTGTTACTCGGATGGCAGTTAGTTATTTGTGTTGTATATGATTTTATATCTGGATACAGATATTGCAGCTGCATTCAGTATTACTGAACACATTGCTTTTCGCATTATCCTATGGTGAGTGATATCCTTTCTTTCAGCATCGTTATACTTATGAGCAAGACTTCCGCTTTCATCTTAGCCACTAACTCTAAACTCATGATAGTAAACCATTGCCGTAGACCATTTATGCTATCATTGCGTTTGAGGCGGTGTTCATCCAGATGTTTAGCCACCGCTACCACTATGAGATCATCTGCATATGCGATCTCTCAAAATTCAGAATGGACTATGTAAAATATACGACATTCGTAGTTTCCAGAGGTTTGCCGACTAAAAAATCAAAGCAAAAGACGGCGACAGAGGTATTAAAGTAAAATTGGAGGGTTTAACCAAACAGAATCTTTATTCATATTTTATAACCGTTGAAAGCAGTGGTATGAAATCTTATGTGGTTAGAAAGATCAGTGAAGTCACTTTAGAAGTTACTTAAATTATTAAAATTTCTTTCTCGAGAAATTTACTCAAAGATGCTAATAAAAATATTTATTTTTTAAATAAGAAATTAGTTCCAGTAAAGCAAGCAAAAATTCACCCTGTATACCATATAAAATTCACAAAGCAGTGCAACTTTACTCACTGCACATTTCTATATAAGTACTTAAATGTTTCAATATGGGTCTGTGGTAACTGTTATGATTTAAATGCAACTTGCGTCACATTCAACTTTTGTACGAATTGCGGTAGAGAAAGTTATTGCTTAAATAAAAATTTAAGCGAAATAAAAACTTTCTATGAGCACAAAACTTATCTCCTTTAAATATGCATACATATATATTATAAATGTATTGTATGTTATACATATGCATATAATATTTATATGAATATGTTTAAAGCAAGCAAGAAATTTCGAAATGAAGAATTCAATTTGAAATGGTTCGAATAAACGCTTCGATTTAACAGCGCACTTTGGGGGTTCGGAAGTCAAGAAGGAACGAGAAGAGAAAAGCGATATTTGCATCAAATCCCTTTTAATCAACCCGACATGATAGATCCGTGTTTAGATAACACAATCTCGAACATGTTTTCTCTGTTCATATGTTGAAAGTTCTTTAGATCACCTTCCGATTGATCACATATGTCTGGTGGTACTCATGGTAAACGGGGGAAGTGTTTGTTGATTAAGTTGACAATTATTGAAGCATTCATTTTTCTATCATAGGTAGGAGAATATCTTCTACTAAATCTTCCTAAGGGTTGTTTCGTCTAAAAATATGCTGACAAATTATACACTCCTTCTTTAAAGTGTCAGTTTAGTCAGAAGTTTAATGCTTCGAAGCTCCTACCTTTAATATTCATTTGAGATTTGGGATAATGATAATCGTTACCTCTCCACCTGGTCTTTCCAATGGAATGGAGGTCTTCCTCTTTCTCTGACTCCCCCCGGGGGTCCTACGTCGAATATTCTCAGAGCTGGAGTGTTTTCATCCATTCGAACGACATTACTTAACTAGCGTAGCCAGTGCGACGACTGTTTGTTTGATGGCAGGATATTTCGTCTTGCCCTCGTTCACTATCAGACCCATTTGCTATGCTTTCTTATCCAGTCTGAAGAAAGCAGAACTTTTCTTCTAGTTATTCATGTAAAAATGCTAATGCTCAAGGGGAACAAATCATATTTCCCCTGATGTTTCAACATACTCCTCACGTTCAAGTAATCTCTACCTTTCTACAATTTTTGATTTCCTCTACTTCCTGCAACACTTCACTTGTTTCCCCCAATAAAGGATTAAAATGAAATACCAGTGTAGTAGATATTATCAACTTTCAGAACCAAAACAGCCCTACCAAATATGTATATTTGCCCAATTCATTTATCCTCAAATACACTTTTAATTGCTGGCAAATTTGTAGCTTCCTTAGTAAACTTCGAAAGTGTGGATAAAAAATCGAAACGGATTTAGAAATATTGCTGTTTGTTGCTGAAGTATGGTGGCTTAACGTTGAACGAATGGATGAAAGGATCGACGGCCCAAACAAAGCACGGACGGATAGACGCTTAGCCAACATGCAAACAGCGCAGAGATAGGGTGGCGAGCGGCAGCAATGCCGCAAACGCATTTGCCTAATGAAATGAAACTGAAACTTTAAAGGCAAATGGCTCTACACTTGCTTTGACATTATGAAGCAGGCGAGCGAGCGGGCGGATGTGCGTTCGGTCGGTGTGCTTAAACCTGAAGGAGAATGCGTAAGCAGAGACGCAAGTGAATATTTACTAAAGGCAGGCAATGGCAATGTCGGTGGCGGTGATGGCAGAGAATGGTACACCACTTCACACTTTGGCAGCAAAACGTATTTTGCATTCGCAGTGCGCACTAACTAACAACCACTCTGTAGACCCTGTTCGCTCCGAACTTCACCGACTGCAGCAGCTGCTGCTGCCGTACTAAGAAGACACTCCAGTGTAACTGAAGCTGAGTTGCTGGCGATGTAGTATGGCACTAACCACTATTCAAATTGATTGGATTGGGCGAAACGATATGTTACTTTGCCACTGCGTAGTACACTTCTAGGTAGGCAAGTGGGTAGACATGCATGTATACTTTATCTAAGTACGTATATGAACAAGTGGAACAGTTTCAGTTGAGGCGCAGTGAAAGTTCCGCAAAATGGGTGGAATTGCATTTTGGTGCTTGGAGCGAAAGTTTTTAGCAAACTATTTGCTGCAGAAGTTTTACATTAAATCCCCACTAGAAGGCGGCTAAAAGTTCAAGTTACCAGCATACATACGTACGTACATATGATTCTTAGCTGAGTGTGTGCGCGCCTCTCGTGGCTGGTTAGTTGCATAAGCTGGAGAGAAATTTAAATAACCGGGATTTTGTTAAGCTAAGCGACTGACTGACTGTCTGGCTATGTGATGCTTCTGATGCGCCTAAAAGCCTCATACAGAAACGTATTGCAACATTAGGGTGTATTTATTTTTTAAAAAGTATTTACGGATAGTTTAGCTGTGCCTATCATCATCAGAAAAATTTTCATAGACAATAGAGTTACTGGGGAATTTTCAGTTACGCGAATGAGCTCTGATCCTTTAGATTAATTGTTACTCCCCTTCAGCTGCTGCCTTTTTGAAAAGATAAATTGAGTTCGGGGTCCTTCTTCTTCTTCTTCTTCTTCTTCTTTATTGGCGTAGACACAGCTCACATAAAAAGCGGACCAGTTGTTCTTTCCTTTCGATATTCGGCGCCTTTTGGAAATTCCGAGCGAAGCCACCTGGTCTTTCCAATCTTTCTCCCGGCGGGTACTGTGCCGAATACTTTCGGACCTGGAGTGTTTTCATCCATTCGATCAACATGACCTAGTCAGAGTAGCCGCTGTCTTTTAATCCGTTCAACTATGTCAGTAGCAGATTTGCTTCTAATATTTCCTGGTACTCGAAACTTTTCATTCGGCAAGAAGGGAAATGTTAACGGTACTGTCTCAGAATGCGAAATTGCGCTATGAAAAATATAGCGGCTCTTATCGTAAAAATCTCCAGTATACCAAAAAGCCGTCTTGATTATCATCTTGAACTTTTCCTCATCGATGAAATCACTTTAGATTCAAAATTTAGTTTTTCTGAATCTTATCATATGCCAGTCTTTATTGATATGATTTCGGGCAAAACTGAGACAAGAGAATTTATGTCGTGGTTTCAAGATAGCGCCTCTCTGCATTTGCTCACGTAGAAAGTTAGGATTTCCTTACACCGCACGCCAAATTGCTGAAACAGATGAAGAAATTTGGTTCTCTCTTTTCACTTCTTCAAACTGGCAGTATTTTAAGAGTGATCATTACTTAACAGTTATTTGTGAATCAAAAAATCAAATAATACGTATTTTAAAAGCTCACAAAAAGCTAACCCTAACTAAAGCCCAAAAGCATATAGGCATGTGTGAGCGCGTTTACAGCCTCGCATTTAATAAAATTCAAAAATCACCTAGCAAACTAACAAAATATGCACAAACTACACTTTTACAACATGAACGCCAACACATGCGGCACTCACAAATACATGTATACCTAAATACATATAACACCATAGAGTGGCGTATGCACATATCCTGCGAAACTCACTTAATCATATTTACAGTTCTCTTGAAACTAGCATTCAATTCATTTAATACCGGCAACGTTCTTTCTTTTTTACCACAATATCGCATCGCATTGCAACGTACATCGCTCCACGCCCACCTCCAAACGTTTGCTTTTCACTTTTCTGATATTAGATAAGCCCCATTGGTTCGATAATGACACTTCATTGGTGCAATATGCGTATATCGGCGGTATGGTGAATATATCATGTGATGCGATGGGTGAGCCGCCACCTTCGTTCACCTGGGTGCATGAGGGTCGTGCCATTACCGGACGTAATTATCGCATTTTCTATGCCGATTACGGTTCAACGCTTCAGATACATGTCCGAAATGAATCACAACTCGGCGATTATAAGTGTAAAGTTGCCAATCCGTTGGGCATGCTGGAGCGCATAGTTAAGCTTCGTAAGGGCCAGAAGCCGAGCGGACCGACACGCTTTCAATTGCTGCGTGCATTCACCGATGGCTTCGACCTCGACATCCGATCGGTGAAGTATTCGAATGTTGAGGATAATATGCATACGTACGGCTATCGTGTGCAATATATGAGTGAGGGGGATTTTAAACATAGCGCGGGCAATTGGAGTTATGCAAAGCATAAGGATTTTCACTTGCAAAGAGGTAAGTGCTCTGTGCCCTAAGTGCTAAGTGAAAGAAAACGAAGTAAAATTTTGAAAATTAAAACATCTATATCTTTCGTTTTACAAGCTTTTTTCGAAGTTTTTTTACCAGTGATGTAATAAATATTTTCTTATTTTCAAAAATTGAATTGAAGCATTTATTATTTAAAGTCTGTTGTTGTCTAATTTTTATTTTGTATGCCTTTTATTTCTTTTCGTTTTGACTGGTTTTATACAAAACCTCAACGATATAAGGTGGTTTCGTGTTTTATCTGTAATCTCTGTTATATTATACGAACTTATGGAACATATCCTTGAACCTCAAATCAACGAATTCAACCACGCACTTTTTAGTTCATTGAACTTATTTCTTTGTTTGGTAAACAGTATTTCTTTTGACAGAGTCGTTGTTCTGCAAAAGGAACGTTTTCAAGTATGAGGGCTCCAGTGAAAAGAGTAAGAGTAATAATAGTCGATCCGTATTTTTAAAGAATTTTTCATATAGAAAAAGCGTTTCTATAGGAGTGTTTGATTGAAAAGAACTTAAAAACACAAAAACGTGCTAAATGACAGGGTCAGGTCCGAGTACTTACAGGTTCTATCCCGAAAATGTTAAAAATAACGAGTGATCTAAGTAGAGATACTTTTTCAATAGCATTTTTCGACAGATCCGGCGTAAGTCGTATCTAGTTGTCATGCTATTTTTGTTCAGTATTGCTTAGTATTCCATCATGGAAAGACTTATGTCTGAACAACGTTTGCAAATCGTTCAACTTTATTACGAACATTCACGTTCTGTAAAGTACTCGGCCCACTGAGCTTACTATTAGCATCACCCATCTTTAGACTCAGCATTCATTATTGGATAATATTCGTCCGAATAGACCACGTCCAGCACGAAGTATGGAAAATATAGCAGCTGTGGAGGGTCGATTCTGCGCCGTTCGCAGCACCTCGGACTGATGTATGGAACCACTTCGCACATTTCGGTGGCCGTACGATATCATCCTGTTATACTTTTTCCTATTGGGATATGTTAATTCTAAAATCTAAGCGCGAAATCCGGCTTCGAATCAATCCTTGGAGCAAAACATAACTCATGTCATTCACCAGTTACCAGTCGAAACATTCCCCATTAGATTTGAAGTTTCTGTGTTTTTTCTTTAAAACGCTAGGTAACCTCGAAATGGAGCACCCTTTGGATTGGATGATAGATTTGAAAGATATTTACTTTAAAACTCTTCAAAAAATATTTATTGGTTGAAATCGAGATATAGAGATGGATAGGGATGACAGCGGGGGAGAGAGAAAAAGAGCAGAAGAGAGAGAGAGATAGAATTTGCGTAGAGAGTGGAAGAAATACATAGAGTGCCAGTAAGAGAAATATAGAGTAACCGCCATTAAATATCTTTTCGAAACGGATATTATTTTATTATTTCGATTACATATTTATTTTTATTATGCCGTTTTATTAGGAGCATTAAATTATAACTCCATTAAATCCAATTTAAAATTTGTCAATACAAATGAATATCAGCTATAAAATATCACATTATCTAAACTTTATATTCATGTCTTGTCTTTTATCACAACTTCTCTACTAACGCTAACGCCATCAACCCACCCGCACATATACACGCACACAGGTGGACGGTTTGTGCTCGACGGCTTGGACCGCAACACCACGTATTTGGTACGTGCTGCAACGCGCAATCTAGCTGGTCTTAGCGATTGGAGTACGGTGAAAATTTTCGCAACACTAACAAATCTCGCTCGACGAACCGTTACGAATATTATCTGGCAAACATGTTTAGTAGTTGGCTTAGGATACTCACTTAGTGAATATGTCAAATTTAGTGCGTACGTTTAAGTTCGATGCAACAACACGGCTAACAAATATGCATGCACACACATACATATGTAGGTAATATTGTGTATTTGTATGTACGGTTGAACATATACATACATACATACATCCAGTAAGTCACTCTAACAATTCAAGCCTTCCTCTCTCCTATTTCCCTCTCCCAAAATGCTTTACTTGTTCTTTAGCAAATGATTGGTAAAATACATGCATACATATGCATATGTGGTAATAGGGCCTTTAGTGAGGTGAGATCTCTGTTAAAAAAATATTTGATACACACTAATACATGCATAGTTGTTGAATGTTTACGATTATTGAAATTGGTATTAGTATGTATGCACGTGTATACTCGTATGTAGTTAATTCTGTTATATTTTTATGTACCTGATTTGTTTTGAATACACTGCATATGTACTTACATACATATGTATAATGCGTTGTAGTGGACACTGATTATATTTACTATACATTTTATGGAAGTGTTTAAAAACATACATTTTAAAAAGTTAAACTGCTTTCAGATTCTGTGATAGATTAAGCAAACTTTTTTTTTTGACAATTTTTGTTTTTTGTCAATCCCGAAATTTCGGGATTATGAAATATTGCTTTCGCAATGCCTATTTTTTAATATGCGAATGTTAAGGGTTTTTTAAGTTTTAATTTAAAATTTCGAGATTATGATACATTATTTACGGGATCACGATTTTTTCTTGCCAAGGGTTCTTTAAATTTTCAATTTAAATAAATTTATTAATAATAGTAGAGTTAACATTTTTCGTCTAACTGATTTTTTCGAATGCTTTAGGTTTCAAATATTTTATACTTGTACAATGATTTTTATTAATAACAATAAAAAGTATTCTAGTCTCAAAATTTTGGGATTTTCAAACATTTCTTTCTGGGTCCTGTTTTTTTCTTTGCGAAGTTTACGTTTTTTTTTTTATTTTAATTTTGAAATTTAAATATTTTTTTATAAGTAATAATAATTGTAATTTTAATACCGAAATTTCGGGACTGTTACAATTATTTCGGCAATTGCGAATGTTTTGAGTTTCAAATTTTTCATACTTCTACATTTCAGTGATTTTTATTAATAATAAGAACGAATATTCTAAACTTAAAATTACGGGATTGTTAAATATTACTTTCGGGAAAAGAAAATAATATTTGTTCTTTTACAAATGTTTAAGGACTTCAACTTTTAACTTCAATTTTTTTTTATTCTAATAATTAATAAAGTTAAAAATATTTTAATCCCGAAATTTAGGGATTGTGAAATTTGAATTTCGGTATCTTGAATTTTTTATTTTGGTAATATATACATTAAATAGAGTTTTTAGTATTAAACATAAAAGTTTCATCAAAACAAAACGTTTTTATACTATTGTTGAATGGTTATTAGGCTATGCTTATAATGTTGCAACTGTGTAAACCGGCATTAAAACTTTTAGCATCTTTATGAAAGCTTCTTTTACCTTTTTTCTCCCCAAAATTTTATTATTATATAAACATTTTTTTTATTCTTTATCAACAATTTTTACAATAAAAATCATTGACGAGTATTCCACATCATTTTTGTACTTTTTTAAAAGAAATTCTTCAAGAATTTCCCATCTGTGTCGGAAACAAATAAATATAATAGAGAACTTGAAAGATTTTACTAAGTAAGTGCATAAGTCCAAATTGAATGTACACACACAAAACTAAATGAAGTATGATTATCGTGAATTTAAACAGAAACGATTATTGTAGCTTAAAATATTTAATATTATAAAACCAAAAAAAAAAAACTAGTTAATATATAATAAAAAAATGCGCAAAACAAAAAACAACTAAATAAAACGAAATATAATTCCAATGAATGTGTGAAAATTGTTGTTTTACTCAAGTTTTTGGTTTCAAAATATTTATTGTGGGATTAGCCAGCTGATTTTTGTATATCAAAATAGGTCTTTAGGTGCACAAAACATTAGAGAACAATTCTCCTTAATTATGTATGTGCTCTTAGCCTCTTAATTAAATGACATAAACCGGACAGTGGTCCGATCGGGATGATTCCCACAAATAATGAACACAATTATAAAATGTCACTAACAAATATTTAGAATCCTTAAAAGCAAAACTTCATCTTGAGTATCGCTGACTCGAAACGTTTTCGGTACCCTAAAAATCTATACGCTACATATATAATATATTTGATAGAAGTACCAAACTACGTAACATATTTTGGAATAAGACAGACACTGGAATATAAGGCGACTACTATTCCGGAAGGTGGCTAGCAGCTCGGAGTAGGGACCCTAAAAACATGGTAAAGAACAATGATTTAAATAAGGGCGAGGAAGAAAAAGGTCGTAACCGAACTTAGCGAAACTGAACAGAGTCTCGTGAGGGATATCGTCGTCGAGGGAGACGAAAATGTCTACGAAAAGGGTGATGGCAATACCGGTCAAGCAAGCTTACCGCTGTTGGCAAAAATCTGCGACAGGAGCAAAGATAGGTCGGAATCGCCAGCACTGGTAGAGGAATCTCTCCTAAGTTCATGAAGGTCCCAGGGTCCGCAGTGAACGCTAAGGACCATGTGGAAAAGCATGTGGTGTCAGCTAAATAATTTAAATAAGGATTAGAAAGAAAGAAGGTCGGAAGCGACTTCAGCGAAATCCTCCGTCGAAAAGCATGAAGGCAACACCGAGAAAGCATTGGTAGAAATCTGCCTACAGTAACCAAAGAGGGGATGGGATCGGCTGCACTAATAGAAGAATCTCTGTTAAGTTCTTGAGGGTCCCCAGTGAACGAGACACTGTGCAAACAATGTGGAAAAGCATGTGTTGGCAACTTAAAAGCTGAAGCCAGACCGTCGATTGGCAGCCAAGATTTTGTAGCGTAACGGTGGCAGCAGGCTGAGCAGCATAATAACTTACTTAGGTGGGTCAAAAGCCAAGAAGCCATGGGTGTAAATAGCAAAACTTGCCAACTCAGTAAAGCTTGGCGTGTACGACCGAAGCAGGAGAGAAGAAGAAGTAAATTCCCATGAGGAACAGAAAAGGTTAGCGTTTGCTTTTATAAAGGGGAAATCATATGCCACCGCTTAGGAGCGAGTGTGCTGGACGGCAATCCAACTCTACCCAATTAGGCTGAGGAACACCTTGGAAGCCATATCGTCAAGAATTGATACTCCTAAATAAGGAATAACAGTTTGTTCTACTTAAATGGTTGCGAACTTTCCTGATTTCGTCTTTTAAGCATAACAATTACAATAAATAATATTGACTAGCCACTTATCAAGATAATCGATGAAATTTATTCCATGCTTATACCAAAATTTAGACTCCATAACTTAACCAAACAACTAGCTACTAAGTATATACTCGACTCATCTATTCGTTGCTGCATTAGAGCGGTGGTGAGCTCGTGTGATGATCGTCTTATACAGAACTGTATGTTAAAGAAACCAATGACTTTTTTTACATTCTAATCTGATGTTCCGATAATGGAGTTCTTATTGTGATCTATATAACACTAAAGAATCAATACTAACATAAATGCATTCAAGAAATATTATCTAAATTCTTGAAGAAATTTTGTATTCGATAAAACCAGAAACTTGTTACAGATAACAATACTTCCATTAAAAAGAAACGCATAATTCTTGTCTATCTTCCCTATTCTATCCCTGATGCTCAGATTTGTAACACATATACATTTATTATGATTTATTTACTCTTTCATAACAAAAGATCTATGCGACAGCGAAAAAAAGTTAATTTCAGAACAATAAACAATACAAATTGAAACCGTTAATGTCATCGATTGTTCTAGCTCACAAACATCTGTGTTTACCACATAAATTATTCACAATTTTTGTTTTATAATACAATTTTAATTACATTGTAATCAATAATGTGTACACATAATCAAACATAATATGTAAATATGGCTTTATTTATGCGATATTATGGGCGAAATGTCAACATGAAATGAAATATTATTATTTTGCATTATTATTAAGTAGTTGTACAAATATGAGACGAATTGAGCCAGTATATTTGTGTTAAATTTATGTGTACAATTTTGAATTAATTTTTTAATTTAAAATGTTCAGTTTTATTGCATTGTGCTGTTGAAAGAGATGTAGGCTCGACAACTTGCAACAAATACGGTACAATTAGTTGTACATATATGTATTGATATGTGTGAAAAATACAGGATTTTATAGCAACTATTATTTACTCGTCTCTTTACCAGAAATTTTAATCTGTCCGGCTAATGTGTACCACCAAGCGAAAATCGGAAGCGAAAGGTTGAAGTTCCGGTGTTGAACACATGTGAACTTTGCAAATATCCAATCAGCAGCCTCTTTCCAGTTGTACCGGTTTTTATAGCTATTGCTGCAAGAACTGCTTGGAGGGATTTTCATTATGCTCCTTAACTGGTTTCATATGGGCCTCATAGCGCAGGTGTTTGACGGGAGACTTCAAGAGACATTCTGTTGTAGGCCGGAGTGCAGTGTTCTCACATGCCTGCAGCATAATCGTTTGCGTTTCACTACATTCAGGCGATCATATTGGTGCGGCATAGTTTAAGACCGGTCGGCCGTTCGCCTTCTATGTAAAAGAGCACAGGCCGCCGAATGTTACACCTAAAACCTTAGGGTTATTGAAATCGGAATTTTAACTCCATCGACTCCAGTATTATTGTCATTATCGTGCAATCATCAGCGTAGGAGGTTGTAGAAATTCTCTTTGATGGTTGAGGGAGCTTCGATATGTAAAAACACTACGGATGATTGGTGATCGCTCAGGTAGCTTGTAGTCCTTCTCTTCAGTCCTGGAGGGAACGTCGATTTTTCAATGTCCTCAAGTAGCGTTGTGTGATTGACTGAGTCAAAGGCTTTTGACAAGTCTAACGCTACCAGGATCATCTCCTCGGTTTTTGGTTGAGACCATGAATTATCTGGGATATTTGTGATGATGCTGGGCACTTTGCAAAAGCCACGATGGTGGTTTGCTAGGCTCAGGTGGTGCGTGAAGGTCGGGAGTAGTGGTGTCTTCAGTACTGGGAAAAACAGTTATCAGACGATAGAACTCCCCTTTGTTGGCGGGTTGTGCAGGTTTTAGTAGTAGGACCACTCTTCCGATTTTCCACACATCAATTATTTGAATAGTAGTCAACAACTGGTTAAGGACCTTGGCCAATGGATTTTTACGATTTTGTCTTACTGATGATACTCTGAATCTCCTCATCGATGAAAGTAAATGGTGCGTAGTCTCTTGGCATTTTAAGCAGCACACACATAACACATCGTTTGGCTTTGCCTACCGAGGCGTGTAATGTAATAGCTCGCTTGAATTGAATTTCGGCGCGCTTATCAGTCATGTCTCTTCGGATTAGAGAAAGTCTTGATTGTTGTCCAAAGATTACGCACGTCGGTGGAAAGGTTGCAGGACTTCAGGTGCTCTATCCATTTTCCGCTTATGTTGATTTACCATTTACCGAATCTCCAAATTGAAATTCCTTATTCGGGGATCGGCGTGACATCGCGCTCATTACCTAAAACAGCTCAGAAATTAAAGCGATGCAAAGATCGAATTACTTTCATTCGAATACAAAAGTTCGTTTTGGGAAAATTCATGCTCTGGTACTTTATGGTGGTAATGGCGGTGAAA